CGTTGGTTAGGGGTGATGCAACAACAGATCCCCATTCAGTTAAGGGAAGAAAAGTGGGCGTGGGTGCGATTTGCATGCGGAGCTTGGCAAAAAGGGGCATGATTTGTTGACATAATTGTAATTCAAACCCAACCTTCATTTACTCGTTGTGACGCACTGAGGTTCCAAACTTTGTTTTAGACGAGACTGACTTTATGACCAAAATGATCCTATTTACACTTTGTAGTCAATTTTGACACTAGAATAAATGTTTTTGACTCATATCGATGCCACATAGGCCGTTTTCAAAGGGATTAGTTGTTTTTTATTATCTTTTAACACACCTAACAAACACTTTGTACTTTTTTAAAAACACTTTTAACATAGACCAGGCCTGTTGTTACCTCATATCCCAGCGGCGCCTTGCATTATGCCTGGGAAGAAAATTTCAATTAGCTCAACCATTGTCTCAACTTACCCAAGGCAAACATTTTGACTATATTAGCCAACACAAGGATGCACTTTCATGCTAGGTTTAGAGCCTCATATTGAAGCTTATTGAGACCCCAACTGATGTATAGAACAATATTAAAAGTATCTACTTTGGTTTTGATACAAGCATCATGAAACCTTTATCACAATAAATTAATTTGACCTGGTGAAAATCTGTTTTTTTTACCTAACTTTTTCCATGTGGTTTCTTCCTTCACAGACTCCATGAAATGATGACCTCTTCCTAAATATTAGGTCAAATGATACATTTTGTTTATGGTTTCCTAGAAACCCTTTTGGTTTTATTTACCCCACTCTCCCCTACATATGTTGCTGTTCTATCCACATGCAATGATGTCAGAGCTACAAAACAAGTTTTTGTTGTTTGCAGTAACTTCTTTGTTGTTGTAATTAAGGATTCCAGCTGTAATACTTGTATGAATATGAGATAAATAGGCTATAAAGGACAATATATGTCATTGTTGACCATTGGCCAATCTTTAAAAACAACAGTTAATTTCACTTGTCTCCAGGCAAAACTGTAGCTGTTCTCAGTTCGTGCTACTCCTTGTCTTGTCTGTGCCACTAGAGATCCTGGTTCAAATCCAGGCTCTGTCGTAGCCGGCCGCGACCGGGAGACCCATGGGGTGCCGCACAATTGGTCCAGGGTAGGGGAGGGAATGGCCGGCAGGGATGTAGCTCAGTTGGTAGAGCATGGCGTTTGGCATGGCAGTCAATTCATACTAGTTGTCATTTTCACTAGCCTAGCGTCAACACACACAGATTGAGCCAGGAATCTCAATATCAATGTCGTTCTGTGAAATTAGAGTGTGATGATGGGAGGAGTTGCTGTTGTTTTCCAGTGGAGAATTGTTGAGATTGAAAACTTGTTAGAAGACAAAAGTGCCAGTGAAATCTGTGTTAATGCCAATATATGGTATCTCCTTCTCCTATAAATATTGAATGAGTAATGCAAATATGGCCATAATATATTTTGGTCATACATACAGTCGTTGAAATTATTTGTACAACATATTGATTACATACTGTATATTATCGGCCTATTGGTCTAATGCTAATTTGCTCCCAAACCTTGTCATTATATGATACCATCAATTGCCTTTATACTGAAAAAAACATACCGTAACCTCATTTACCTGCCAATCATGAATGCCCCATCCCTCGAGACAGAGTTTGGTGTGATCGTGTAGCTCAGTTGGTAGAGCATGGCGCTTGCAATGCCAGGGTTGTGGGTTCGTTTCCCACGGGGGGCCGGTATGAAAAATTCATGCATTCACTAACTGTAAGTCACTCTGGATAAGAGCATCTGCTAAATGACTAAAATGTTAATGTGAAAATGATCAACCCATGGCAGTTGCCATAGCAACACTATCCCATATAGCTTTAGTCTTCATAGTCAAGTCCCAGGGATATTATAACAGTATTTGTCGTGGCTAGTGATCCATAAATCACACCACCGCCTACTAACTCTGCCCAGTGGCAGACATATACGTCAACACTAACGTGAATGCCTGCAACGTTTCTGCAATGGAAGTGTGGAAGCCAAGCTATGCCAAAAAATGTATAAGTTATGAAAAGAAGACTAACATTCTTATATACACAACCGGTCAAAAGTTTGGACACACCTACTCATTCAAGGGTTTTTCTTAATTTTTACAATTTTTTACATTGTAGAATAATAGTGACGACATCAAAACTATGAAATAACATATATAGAATCATATAGTAACCAAAAAAGTGTTAAACAAATCAAAATATATTTTATAATTGAGATTCTTCAAATAGCCACCCTTTGCCTTGATGACAGCTTTGCACACTCTTGGCATTCTATCAACCAGTGTCATGAGGTAGTCACCTGGAATGCATTGCAATTAACAGGTGTGCCTTCTTAAAAGTTAATGTGTGGAATTTATTTCCTTCTTAATGCATTTGAGCCAATCAGTTGTGTTGTGACAAGGTAGGGGGGGGGGGTATACAGAAGATAGCCCTATTTAGTAAAAGACCAAGTCCATATTATGGCAAGAACAGCTCAAATAAGCAAAGAGAAACGACAGTCCATCATTACTTTAAGACATGAAGGTCAGTCAATACGGAACATTTCAAGAACTTTGAACGTTTCTTCAAGTGTAGTCGCAAAAACCATAATGCGCTATGATGAAACTGGCTCTCATGAGGACCACCACAGGAATGGAAGACCCAGAGTTACCTCTGCTGCAGAGGATACGTTCATTAGAGTTACCAGCCTCAGAAATTGCAGCCCAAATAAATGATTCACAGAGTTTAAGTAACAGACACATCTCAATATCAACTGTACAGAAGAGACTATGTGATCAGGCCTTCATGGTCGAATTGCTGCAAAGAAAGCACTACTAAAGGACACCAATAATAAGAAGAGACTTGCTTGGGCCAAGAAACACGAGCAATGGACATTAGACTTGTAGAAATGTGTCCTTTGTTCTTGAGTCCAAATTTGAGATTTTTGGTTCCCCATCCGCCGTGTCTTTGTGAGACGCGGTGTGGGTGAACGGATGATCTCCGCATGTGTATTTCCCACCGTAAAGCATGGAGGAAGATGTGTTATGGTGTGGGGGTGCTTTGCTGGTGACACTGTCTGTGATTTATTTAGAATTCAAGGCACACTTAACCAGCATGGCTACCACAGCATTCTACAGAGATACGACATCCCATCTGGTTTGGGCTTAGTGGGACTATCATTTGTTTTTCAATAGGACAATGACCCAACACACCTCCAAGCTATGAAAGGGCTATTTTACCAAGAAGGAGAGTGATGGAGTGCTGCATCAGATGGCCTGGCCTCCGCAATCCCCCGACCTCAACCAAATTGAGATGGTTTGGGATGAGTCTGACCACAGAGTGAAGGAAAAGCAGCCAACAAGTGCTCAGCATATGTGGGAACTCCTTCAAGACTGTTGGCAAAGTATTCCAGGTGAAGCTGGTTGAGAGAATGCCAAGAGTGTGCAAAGCTGTCATCAAGGCAAAGGGTGGCTATTTGAAGAATGTCAAGTATAAAATATATTTTTATTTGTTTAACACTTTTTTGGTTACTATATGATTCCATATGTGTTATTTCATAGTTTAGATGTCTTCACTATTATTCTACAATGAAGAAAATAGTAAAATAAAGAAAAACCCTTGAATGAGTAGGTGTTCTAAAACTTTTGACCGCTAGTGTATATATTTCTTTCACCTTAGGTTCCTATTTTAAACCTGTGTAGTTTACATGTGTTTTAACATACTAATTTTTGTAATAATAAATAGACACAACTTAGTGCAAAGCATTACAAAGACCCTTTTAAAATACACCTCAAATAAATGTGTCCTCCAATTATGGGTGACATATCTGAATAATGTATAAGCCTAATAAAACCATTTTAACGAACATGACATGACTCATTAACATCAATGGGCAATTAAGTCACATGCCCTCAATACAATAGAGAGCTCTCTTGTCACAGCTAGGCACACTTGACACTCTCTTATTGTCACCCATTCCCACTGAAAGCGAAGAGAGCCGCTAAATAGAGATGTCATAGCTGGGAAACGAGGTGAATCGGCTATGACGACACAACGATACAGGCTGGCATTGGAATACAACTGCGAGGATGCAGATAGGCTAGCCTAGGATGAGGATCAGTCTGAGACTCTCAGCCCTCCCCAACCTAGCAGGCTGTGGCGGAGGTAGCTAGCTAGACTACTTGGTATTCTATTCACAGTCTGTATATAAACAGAAGCAGAGCGTGGAGGAGGGAGGAAGAAGAGGGTTATTGCTTTCGCATCGCAGCGCGAGGGAAGATCAACACGAGGCGTGATAGAGGAAATGACTGCCTGGCTGCGATGATGGAGATGTTCTTGATTGGTATCTCTGAGAATTACAATAAAAATGGACTCGGCTTCGTTCATATACTTTTTCTTTTTGAATGGGAAACGTGAGCGGGGATTGAATAAGGATGAATGGGGAATAATTAATCAAGTGATGTAGATGCACTGGAGGAAATTCTCCAGTTGTATGAGCGTGAAATTACATTTGTGCATTTCATTAGTACTGTTCACTGATATGGGGAGCATATTTCAGAGTGTACTGGGAGGAGAGGAAATACTATTTGACTCAATATCAGCTTATATCTGACCATGAAAGAGTGAGGTTCCCTAATAAAATTGGAATGGGACAAACCTGATGCATATTGCTTTAGCCTGAAACAAAGCTATGCATGTATAAAATGTATTTGTAGAGTATGTTGGCATAGCTGCCATTACTCATAAGATTAACTCACTGTCCAGATACATACACAAACACTAGCATACAGGAACATTCCATGGGTGTGTGATGCTTTCCTGATATGGACACAACATTTATTAGAAACACAACAATCCAGTCAAATACATCCATACATTTCATCCACAGACACAAAGACACTGAGGCACGGAACCCTATTAACTATTCACCCTGATCCCCTGGGATGTGTGATCAGACAGAGTGGACGCTCTGGATGCCTAGAGGTCAGACTTCACCTAGGGCTCAGGCTGAAAGGGTCAACTGCACCAGGGCTTTGCTGTGTTCAATAGGGGTTCAGCTGGGTTTACCTTATTCCTCATACTAAGCTGTATATCAATCTCTGGACCTAGAATCACAACCTAGAACACCTCTGACTGCATTTTACCATCAGTGTGTACAGGATGACCACTGTGTATAAAGATACCATACTGTACCACATTTTTCTTAGGTGAAGGATATTTTGTGTCGAAACCCCATGAAGTGTGCCACCCAGTTACATAATATCAATGTTTAGAAACAGTTACCATATTGATTATGGTAACTACTACTATGGTTACCAACTTCTATATGCAAATCAAACCACAACAACCTTTTAGTGGTTGTTGTGGTCATATAAAAGCCTTGTACTGACCACAGCTTAGTCTGATTGATTCATCTCAAGATTTTGTCCAGCACTCTCAACCAGTACTCTCAATCATGTTTTTCTCCAACCCTCTGTTGTCCCAAGGCTGTGATTTACTGTATATAGTGAACATTCCCTTTTGTCTTTCATGAGTGATGTCTGACCTTCTCTGTCTCTCTTCTCTGTGCATGCTCAGGATGCCTGGAGTGCTGCATCAAATGCCTGGGCGGCATCCCCTACCCGTCGCTCATCGCTACCATCCTGCTGTACGCTGGGGTGGCACTGTTCTGCGGCTGCGGGCACGAGGCCCTCTCTGGGACCGTCACCATCCTGCAGAACTACTTTGAGGTTGTCAGAGGACCCGTGGATTCCTTGGACGTGTTCACCATGTGAGCAGGCTACATACCTAGGAGCTACACTGGAAACATTTGAGATATACTGTTGTATACCAACTGAAAGTTACCCCTATACTAAGTAGCTGCTATGTACTTTGAGGAACCTGACATTGAGGAACCTAAATGTACAGTAATTGCAGATGGGGTAGAAAAGACAAACATTGTAATCTGGTAAAACAACACCATCTCGGTTTAAAATGATTTTCAAACAAGTCTACAGTAAACATGTCCCCCACATATGATGTAGGCCTCCTTCTGGTTCCAATTAGTGACAAATATTCCAACGTACAGTACCAGTCAAAAGTTTGGACACACCTACACATTCAAGGGTTTTTCTTTATTTTTACTATTTTCTACATTGTAGAATAATAGTGAATACATCAAAACTTTGAAATGACACATATTTAATCATGTAGTAACCAAAAAAGTGTTAAACAAATCAAAATATATACTGTATATTTGAGATTCTTCAAATAGCCACCCTTTGCCTTGATGACAGCTTTGCACACTCTTGGCATTCTCTCAACCAGCTTCACCTGGAATGATTTTCCAACAGTCTTGAAGGAGTTCCCACATATGCTGAGCACTTGCTGGCTGCTTTTCCTTCAGTCTGCGGTCCGACTCATCCCAAACCATCTCAATTGGGTTGAGGTTGGGGGATTGTGGAGACCAGGTCATCTGATGCAGCACTCCATCACTCTCCTTCTTGGTAAAATAGCCCTTACATAGCCTGGAGGTGTCTTGGGTCATTGTCCTGTTGAAAAACAAATGATAGTCCCACTAAGCCCAAACCAGACGGGATGGCGTATCGCTGCGGAATGCTGTGGTAGCCATGCTGGTTAAGTGTGCCTTGAATTCTAAATAAATCACAGACAGTTTCACCAGCAAAGCACCCCCACACCATAACACCTCCTCCTCCATGCTTTACGGTGGGAAATACACATGCGGAGCTCATCCGTTCACCCACACCGCTTCTCACAACCAAAAACCTCCAATTTGGACTCAAAAACAAAGGACACATTTCCACCGGTCTATTGTCCATTGCTCGTGTTTCTTGGCCCAAGCAAGTCTCTTCTTATTATTAGTGTCCTTTAGTAGTGGTTTCTTTGCAGCAATTCGACCATGAAGGCTTGATTCACACAGTCTCTTCTGAACAGTTGATGTTGAGATGTGTCTGTTACTTGAACTCTGTGAAGCATTTATTTGGGCTGCAATTTCTGTGGCTGGTAACTCTAATGAACTTATCCTCTGCAGCAGAGGTAACTCTGGTTCTTCTATTCCTGTGGCGGTCCTCATGAGAGCCAGTTTCATCATAGCGCTTGATGGTTTTTTCGACAGCACTTGAAGAAACTTTCAAAGTTCTTGAAATGTTCCATATTGACTGACCTTCATGTCTTAAGGTAATTATGGACTGTCGTTTCTCTTTGCTTATTTGAGCTGTTCTTGCCATAATATGGACTTGGTCTTTTACCAAATAGGGCTATCCTCTGTATACCTTGTCACAACACAACCAATTGGCTCAAATGCATTAAGAATGCATTAAGAAGGAAAGGAATTCCACAAATTAACTTTTAAGAAGGCACACCTGTTAATTGCAATGCATTCCAGGTGACTACCTCATGAAGCTGGTTGAGAGAATGCCAAGAGTGTGCAAAGCTGTCATCAAGGCAAAGGGTGGCTATTTGAAGAATCTCAAATATAAAATATATTTTGATTTGTTTAACACTTTTTCAGTTACTGATTAGTTCAGATACTCTTTGAAGAGGTAGGGTTTCAGATGTTTGGGCAAGGGGTACCAGGACAGAGAAGAACTTTGACTGGGCTGAGCGGAAGCTTCCCTCCCGTAGAGGTGGGAGGGCCAAGAGACCAGAGGTGGCAGAATGAAGTACACGGGTTGGGGTGTAGGGTTTGAGCATAGCCTGAAGTTAGGGAGGGGCAGTTCCTCTTGCTGCTCATTAGGCATGTACCATGGTCTTGTAGTGGATGGGAGCTTCGACTTGTGCGAAGGAGCGGGGTGACATGGGAGAACTTGGGAAGGTTGAACACTAAGCGAGCTGCAGTGTTCTGGATAAGTTGGGTTTGATGGCACAAGCGGGGAGCCCAGCCAACATCGAGTTGCAGTAGTCCAGATGGGAGATGGCAACGGCCTGGATTAGGACCTGCACCACTTTCTGTGTGAGGTAGGGTCAAACTCTACGGATGTTGTAGGGAATGAACCTGCAGCAGCGACTCACTGCTTTGATGTTTGCAGAGTATGACAGAGTGTTGTCCAGGGTCATGCCAAGGTTATTTGCACTCTGGGAGGGAGACACCATGGAGTTGTCAACCATGATGGAGAGGTCTTGGAGTGGGTAGGGCTTTCCCGGGAGAAAGACCAGCTCCGTCTTGTCGAGGTTGAGGTGGTGGGCCGACATCTAAGATGAGATATCTGTCAAGCACGCAAAGATGCGTTTTGCCACCTGGGTGTCAGAAGGGGGGAAGGACAAAAGTTGTTGAGTGTCATCCCCATAGCAATGATAGGAGAGACAATGTGAGAATATGATTTTGTGTATAGAAAGAAGAGGAGAGGACCTAGAACTGAGCCCTGGGGGACACCAGTAGTGAGAGTATGTGGTGCAGACACAGATCCTCTCCATGTCACCTGGTAGGAGCGGCCTGCCAGGTAGAATGCAATCCAAGAGTGTGCGGAGCCTGAGACGCCCAGCCCTGAGAGGGTGTAGAGGAGGATCTGAAGGTTCATGGTGTCAAACGCAGCGGATAGATCTAGGAGGATGAGAACAGAGGAGAGAGAGTCAGCTTTGGCAATGCGGAGAGCCTCCATGACACAGAGGAAAGCAGTCTCGGTTGAGTGACCCGTCTTGAAGCCTGACTGGTTAGGGTCAAGAAGATCGTTCTGAAACGGATAGCGAGAGAGTTGGTCAGAGACAGCACACTCAAGTGTTTTGGAAAGAAAAGAAAATGTTTGATGTCAGAGGGGTCGAGTGTTGGTTTCTTGAGGAGGGAAGCGACTCGGGTCATTTTGAAGTCAGAGGGGACGCAGCCAGTGGTCAGGGATGAGTGGATGAGGGAAGTGAGGAATGGGAGAAGGTCTCTAGAGATGGTTTGGAGAAGGGAGGAGGGGATGGGGTCAAGCGGGCAGGTTGTCGGGCGACCAGACCTCACTGTTAATTTGGAGGAATGAAATATAAGTTATGTTTTGTACACTACCTGTGCGTGTGCAAAATAAGTACCAAAATTATATAGGTTGTTATGGGAAACTTGTTTCTCATGAGGAGATGCATATGTCCAAAATTACATGACTGTAGCTCAAGTGGGGCAGGAGATATGCTTGTTCAAATTTGGTGGCGGACAAAAAGTCTAATTAGCAGAAAAACGAATGGGCGGAGCTTATAGGTCCTTATGAGGCTGCATATGTGAACCAATTTTCATGACAATAGCAAAGTTTGATATTTCAGTTGATTACTATAGCACCCTCTCTTGGGCAAATCAGTGTAATTTTGGAATTTCAGTTGAGTACTATAGCACCCCTCTTGTTCCAATCAGTGTAATTTTGTAAATGATGAATCTCCATGGCAAGATGCATCATTCAACCAAGTTTCATCAAAATCAGGCCAGTGCTGTCTGAGATATCTCGTGTGACGAACGTACGACCGTGCTAATGTACTAACGGACGGAGACAGATCCACGGTTCCCTCCCCGATTTCATTGAGGGGGACAATAAGTCACTTGTATAATTACTATATAAATACACTATCCAATGTAAGTACATGCTATCTATACAACTTCATGATAAGTTTGACTAAGCAGAAGTTACAGAGATTGCATAAACAACAATGAAACGACAATGAAACAACAATGCAATAACTGTACATTAAAGTTGTTTTCACACACATTTCCCTTTTTCCCTCTAGGATTGACATAATCAAGTATGTGATCTATGGCATTGCCTCAGCGTTCTTTGTCTACGGTATTCTGTTGATGGTGGAGGGCTTCTTTACCAGCGGAGCCATCAAGGACCTGTATGGAGACTTCAAGATCACCACCTGTGGACGTTGCGTCAGTGCTTGGGTAAGGGATAATTGATCACTGAATGATGAGGTTTACTGACATTCAAGAGTATCTCGTAATGTTTTCTATGAATGACCTGTATGTAATGCAGTGGCCCGTAGGGGCAAAGTAGCTTTTAAAAATGTAATGCCATATATCACAATATTGTAGATAAAATGTGTGCGTAATTTAGAGCTTAATGGCCGTAATGTCTCCCAAACCTCTCCCCATGTAGCCCCATCCATTCCACTTTCTATTCCAGTACTGGCACACCTGTTTCCAGTTGCCAATCATCAAGTCCATGATGAATTGAATTAGGTGTGCTAGTACTGGAATAGATCAAATAAGTGGAATGGGGGGTACTTGAGGAGAGGTTTGGGAAACACTTATATAGACTCGGTCTCAATTAATCCTGATGTGAAATTGGTGGGATGTCAATGTTATTCCTAAATCATTGTTTGGAGCACGGTATAACAATTGCAACCTGAAATCTAATGTCTCCTCTATCTGTCTTAGTTTATCATGCTGACGTACATCTTCATGCTGGCTTGGCTCGGGGTAACAGCGTTCACCTCCCTCCCCGTCTTCATGTACTTCAACATCTGGACCATTTGCCAAAACACCACTATCCTGGAGGGTGCCACTCTGTGCTTGGACCCGCGCCAATATGGTAAGGAATCAGGATATAGCTTGGTCTGATGCTTCTCTCTGGGCTTTTTCCAACATACAGTATTGTCCATGGGGGGTGGGCTACTGATGGACAGATTTACTAAGTGTTGTTACTGTTGCACGGAAATGGGTTGAAAAGGTGAAATACAGCTTTGGGAAGGCATGACGTGTAAAGGACAGCTTCATGGTTTAGTTTGATTTCGGTGTTGTATTTGACAGTGGAAATAACAGGTGCAAATGTCTTGTTCTCCCCTCATTTCAGGTATTGTGCCAATTGGGGAGGGGAAAACTGTATGCGCTGGTTCTGAGAAGTTTTACAAAATGTGTGAATCAAATGAGGTATGTCAAATAAAACACTTGACAAACATTGACATAACATGTGAGTACAGTATATGTTTGTTTATGTAATATGTGATTCCTGCTTCCAAAGTAATAAAACATCTAAAATAATATTGAAATATGGATGTGTGAAAGCTTATACATAATTACCATGTATTTAAAAACATTCCCATTCATATGAAGGCTTTTGCTTCTCATGTAATTAATTTGATCACAAAGTAAAAGGCGAGTAACATGGGGATGCCTGACTAACATGTCCTCTACTTTGTCTTTAACACAGCTGGACATGACATTCCACCTGTTCATTTGTGCCCTGGCTGGTGCTGGAGCAGCTGTCATTGCTATGGTGAGACACAAAAACCAATGACTTTTCTATCTCTGTTGATATATGTGACATTACAGCTTTGATTCATATCCATTTGAAGACAATATCACATCTAATGGACCATGTAATCTGTATGTGAACCTCTGAGATCTGTACAAGCCGCTGTATAGATTATATCTCATGTTTCTCATGAGAAAATATGAATCAGACATGTCCGATTTATTGAACTAGTCTATAGGCTAACAAATGGAAATACAAGGTTTTCATTTGACATGGCCATTTTATAAATGACAATAATAGGTCAAATACAAGCAGTAACGGGGTTGATTTATATAGCTAAAAATCTGCTATATGCCTGTGAGAATGGCTAGGGAGGCTGTATTTGGCGCAGTGGAGGGACAAGGTTTTTCTCTCTCTCAGAGATGCAAGGCATGTCACATCGTTGTCATGGAAACTGGGAGAAGAAAGGCCCAGAGCTTGGTGAAAACATCACTCAGTAATTTGTGAGGAGCCATTTTCTAAGAAAGGGAATGTGGTCGTTAGTCAAGGATGATGGTGCAAAGTGCGGCCCGACATTTAACAAAACAAATTGCTGGGAAAATTAAACAGTGGTACACACACCCGTCAATAAAGCTGATTAGCTGATTATTTAATTGATTAATAAAACAAAATCTCCCGAGTGGCGCAGTGGTGTAAGGCACTGCATCGCAGTGCTAGCTGTGCCACTAGAGATCCTGGTTCGAATCCAGACTCTGTCGTAGCCGGCCGTGACCGGGAGACCCATGGGGCGGCACACAATTAGCCAGCGTCGTCCAGGGTAGGCGAGGAAATGGCCAGCAGGGACGTAGCTCAGTTGGTAGAGCATGGCGTTTGCAACGCCAGGGTTGTGGGTTCGATTCCCACGTGGGGCCAGTATGAAATTGTGTGCGCTCACTTAACTGTAAGTCGCTCTGGATAAGAGTGTCTGCTAAATGACTAAAATGTAAATACAAATTATGAGATGAGATGATGAATGGATGTAGAGTATTTTCCAGTCCTCACAGTTGAGACTATAGCTTTTGTTTACATTAACATTTTAGTCATTTAGTAGACGCTCTTATCCAGAGCGACTTACAGTTAGTGCATACATTCTTTTTTTCTTTTTCATACCCCCCGTATGTTTGAATCCTTTATAGACCAGTTGGTCTTTGTGTAGAATTAAATCCATTAGCAGGCTGCTAATAATGACCATGATTCAATGTGAAAGGTGTGGCAATGTAACAACCACAGTCATTTAACCACAACACATTCACAATGGCAGTGTCTCAATGGAGCCTTTGCTGCCATGGAAACCCTGGATACTGCCCACTTTTTCTAATGTACTGCCACCTGCTGGCATGTCAGTGAAATGACACAATTGTACTAGAAAATTAAAAGATATCAACAAAGAATATCTTGAATTCAATACACTGTTTTTCACCCCTAAAATACCTATTGTAACTAATTTTTTCAGCTTGAATAAAAGTTGTGGGCCACAATAATTGCACTTTATATTTCTGCTGCAAATCCCTCTTCTAATAGAGTCTGGCAAAAGGAGCTTCATTAGAGGCTATATTCATTCATAGAGACTATTCCACATTTGAAAGAGAAATGGACCCAAAATTGTGTTTTCCAATTAAGTACACGGTGAAAATATGGTACACTTTCTTCCATTTTGTGGCAGGCATTCATCTTTCCCTAATCAATGTCAGTGGTGAATTGAAAGACCAATAGTTTGCGGCATGTTTGATTTTCTCCCTGACTGAACTTGTTGGTGACTCATCTCTGTTTCAGATCCACTACCTGATGGTGCTGTCGGCCAACTGGGCCTACGTGAAGGACGCGTGTAGGATGCAGAAGTATGAGGACATCAAGTCCAAAGAAGAGCAGGAGCTCCACGACATCCACTCCACCCGCTCCAAGGAGCGTCTCAACGCCTACACATAAGGCCAGTGTGAGGCCTGGCCCTGCCACCCTGCCCCCCTCCCCTCCTCTCCACCATCCCCTAAAGAGGGGGTTGGGTGGTGCCCGGGGTCCTCGCCACCGCTGATGTCACTGGTGCATCATATGACAAAGTGGTCCGGGGGACCCTCATACAACCCCCCCAAACAGCATTTCAGATGACGAGCCCCATTACCACTCTCATGGACTGCATTATTATTATTATTATTATTATTATCATTATTATCATCACCTGTATTATTGTGTTTTTTTAAATAGTATTTGGTAGTTTAGCACGTAGTAGAATTAGAAGTAGATAGCTGCAGTATTTTTCGGATACGTTGTTACTTTGGAGAACTTTCATTTGGATTTTTACAAGTTTTATAGTTGCATCAAGTGTCATTATTTTTTCCCCTTGTATTATTTATTTCTCTTCATTTTTGAGGTGGTCAGTTGGGGCTTAAACGGGTTTCAAGCACATTTCTCATGTTTGTGTGTCTATATAAATATCATTTTAAAGAACTATGTAAATGGCTGGGTGATCAGTTTTTAATACTTTTTCAATCACACAGGGGAACTTTTAAAGCTCCTGAAGCCTTTACATACCAGTACTGCCAGGGATCTAAATAATAACTTTGAAGTGAAATAAATTAGAATCTTACTAGAAGTTTTTTTTTTTTACTCCAGTTACACGATAGTGTTACCAAATTTGTATTAAAAAATATATTATTTACTAGCTGTGCCAAGCCTGTTAAACAGGAAACACTTAGATCAATATCAAATAAGACATTTGTCCCCAAAATGATAAACAATGGATTATTTTATTACTATATGAGGCATCTTGACAATTTAAAGCTATGTATGTAAGGCAGGGCTCTCCAACCCTGTTCCTGGAGAGCTACCGTCCTGTAGGTTTTCACTCCAACAGTAATCTAGCGCACCTGAATTTAATAATTAGCTGGTTGATCAGCTGCATCAGATTAGTTACAAATAGGGTTGGAACAAAAACCTACAGGAGGATAGCTATCCAGGAACAGGGTTGGACAACCCTGTTCCAAGAACTGTGAATGATTCCATTGTCTGTAATCATACGCCACACAAGCACATGCAAATATGTCCTCATACCTCCTTTTTTAATTTCATAAAGTCAAACTTTATAGATACTGGTATGAAACAAGTTTTTGCAGATTTCTGCATTGTATATATTGATATATAAATGCATACTTATATGTTTAGCACTTCAAATTCAGGACAATTCATAAAATAATAAAAATAAGTTACTGTGGTTGAATCCACTATTCATCTCTCAGTCTTTCAAAAAATCTTGACGCTAAAAAAAGTTGTTGGGATAAAATGTCACTTTTTGGTGGATTTATCAGACGTAAGAAAAGTGTTTGTCACACAGTAAGTTATTTTGTTTATGACATTAAACGTTTGATTTTCATGCTTACACATCATTATGCCATAGGACTATGAAGGTGGCCTACCATTTCATTGCCTGGCTAGTTTCGTGAACTTATTTGACAATTTCTGTGCTCTCTCTAGGTGTAAGCACATTGCTGTTCAACTCAGAGTTGGATAACTGTAATGTTAGGTAAAGACAGTGAATTTAGATGTTTTTCGTGGCATGGACATGCATTAATGGTATAGAATTATTAACTCAAAAGTCATTTTATTTACACTTTGCCTGTCTTGCTGGGTCAACCCTTTGTTATGTGCAGTACTAAACCCCCCACGCTAACAGCATTATGTTACTGATATTAGACTGTTTTGTTTGAGTTGTGTCTGTTTAGTTTGTGATGAGCTATCAACAATGTCTTAAACTGATTCTTGTGCCAATGTAGCTCCTACAGTAAATGACCTGACAATGCTTTCGGCTTTATCTTTTGTACTTTCACAAGAATGCTTACTTACGTAGTAGCAGGCTTTCAATTGAAAAAATGTGCTTGCATTAATAAAAATCACTTGTGTACTTGTTAATAAATACTATGTGGGTCTTGTGTGTTTATTCCCCGTTAACACTTTGCAGTGTTCATAATACTCTGTAACTATTCGTGTAAGTACAATTTAACAAGTATTGTAATTTCCAATGTCCAATTGGGTTGGGGTAAGAGTAGGGTTACTGCAGTAAGTACAGTGTAACATTGAGTAATTACAAAAAGAAAATGGTATGTACGTATGTACAGTATGTATGTATATACACTGCTCAAAAAAATAAAGGGAACACTAAAATAACACATCCTAGATCTGAATGAATGAAATAATCTTATTAAATACATTTTTCTTTACATAGTTGAATGTGCTGACAACAAAATCACACAAAAAGTATCAATGGAAATCAAATTTATCAACCCATGGAGGTCTGGATTTGGAGTCACCCTCAAAATTAAAGTGGAAAACCACACTACAGGCTGATCCAACTTTGATGTAATGTCCTTAAAACAAGTCAAAATGAGGCTCAGTAATGTGTGTGGCCTCCACGTGCCTGTATGACCTCCCTACAACGCCTGGGCATGCTCCTGATGAGGTGGCGGATGGTCTCCTGAGGGATCTCCTCCCAGACCTGGACTAAAGCATCCGCCAACTCCTGGACAGTCTGTGGTGCAACGTGGCGTTGGTGGATGGAGCGAGACATGATGTCCCAGATGTGCTCAATTGGATTCAGGTCTGGGGAACGGGCGGGCCAGTCCATAGCATCAATGCCTTCCTCTTGCAGGAACTGCTGACACCCTCCAGCCACATGAGGTCTAGCATTGTCTTGCATTAGGAGGAACCCAGGGCCAACCGCACCAGCATATGGTCTCACAAGGGGTCTGAGGATCTCATCTCGGTACCTAATGGCAGTCAGGCTACCTCTGGCGAGCACATGGAGGGCTGTGCGGCCCCCCAAAGAAATGCCACCCCACACCATGACTGACCCACCGCCAAACCGGTCATGCTGGAGGATGTTGCAGGCAGCAGAACGTTCTCCACGGCGTCTCCAGACTCTGTCATGTCTGTCACATGTGCTCAGTGTGAACCTGCTTTCATCTGTGAAGAGCACAGGGCGCCAGTGGCGAATTTGCCAATCTTGGTGTTCTCTGGCAAATGCCAAACGTCCTGCACGGTGTTGGGCTGTAAGCACAACCCCCACCTGTGGACGTCGGGCCCTCATACCACCCTCATGGAGTCTGTTTCTGACCATTTGAGCAGACACATGCACATTTGTGGCCTGCTGGAGGTCATTTTGCAGGGCTCTGGCAGTGCTCCTCCTGCTCCTCCTTGCACAAAGGCGGAGGTAGCAGTCCTGCTGCTGGGTTGTTGCCCTCCTACGGCCTCCTCCACGTCTCCTGATGGACTGGCCTGTCTCCTGGTAGCGCCTCCATGCTCTGGACACTACGCTGACAGACACAGCAAACCTTCTTGCCACAGCTCGCATTGATGTGCCATCCTGGATGAGCTGCACTACCTGAGCCACTTGTGTGGGTTGTAGACTCTGTCTCATGCTACCACTAGAGTGAAAGCACAGCCAGCATTCAAAAGTGACCAAAACATCAGCCAGGAAGCATAGGAACTGAGAAGTGGTCTGTGGTCACCACCTGCAAAACCAGTCCTTTATTGGGGGTGTCTTGCTAATTGCCTATAATTTCCACCTGTTGTCTATTCCATTTGCACAACAACATGTGTAATTTATTGTCAATCAGTGTTGCTTCCTAAGTGGACAGTTTGATTTCACAGAAGTGTGATTGACTTGGAGTTACATTGTGTTGTTTAAGTGTTCCCTTAATTTTTTTGAGCAGTGTATATACAGTGGGGGAAAAAAGTATTTAGTCAGCCACCAATTGTGCAAGTTCTCCCACTTAAAAAGATGAGAGAGGCCTGTAATTTTCATCATAGGTACACGTCAACTATGACAGACAAATTGAGACAATTTTTTCCAGAAAATCACATTGTAGGATTTTTAATGAATTTATTTGCACATTATGGTGGAAAATAAGTATTTGGTCACCTACAAACAAGCAAGATTTCTGGCTCTCACAGACCTGTAACTTCTTCTTTAAGAGGCTCCTCTGTCCTCCACTCGTTACCTGTATTAATGGCACCTGTTTGAACTTGTTATCAGTATAAAAGACACCTGTCCACAACCTCAAACAGTCACACTCCAAACTCCACTATGGCCAAGACCAAAGAGCTGTCAAAGGACACCAGAAACAAAATTGTAGACCTGCACCAGGCTGGGAAGACTGAATCTGCAATAGGTATGCAGCTTGGTTTGAAGAAATCAACTGTGGGAGCAATTATTAGGAAATGGAAGACATACAAGACCACTGATAATCTCCCTCGATCTGGGGCTCCACGCAAGATCTCACCCCGTGGGGTCAAAATGATCACAAGAACGGTGAGCAAAAATCCCAGAACCACAAGGAGAGGACCTAGTGAATGACCTGCAGAGAGCTGGGACCAAAGTAACAAAGCCTACCATCAGTAACACACTACGCCGCCAGGGACTCAAATCCTGCAGTGCCAGACGTGTACCCCTGCTTAAGCCAGTACATGTCCAGGCCCGTCTGAAGTTTGCTAGAGTGCATTTGGATGATCCAATCTCAATTTGTCTGTCATAGTTGACGTGTACCTATGATGAAAATTACAGGCCTTTAGCATTTTAGCTAATTAGCAACTTTGCAACTACTTACTACTTTTTAGCTTATTTGCAACAAAGCATGTTAGCTAACCCTAACGCTAACCTTAACCCTTTTAGCTAACCCTTCCCCTAACCCTAACCTTAACCCTAACCCCTAACGCTAACCCCTAGAGCTAATGTTAGCCAGCTACCTAACATTAGCGTTAGCCACCTAGCCACCTAGCTAATGTTAGCCACAACAAATTGGAATTCGTAAAATCTCATACGTTTTGCAAATTTGTAACATGTTGTACATTTTCCATATTCATAACATATTGTACGAATTGCAATTTGTAACATATCATGCAAATTGTGATTCGTAACATATCATACCAAATGGATGATG